TTGTACTACTGTTTTCCAAAATTGGATGAATAAACGCAACTTTTGCAGTCTGATTAGAGGCAAAAAAAAAAAAAAAATAAAATAAAATAAAATAAAATAAAATAAAATTAATATAAAATTATTTAAACTTTATAAAACTTTATAAGTATGGTTTTAAGATAAAAATAAGAAAAATCATAGTTATTAATTTTAATATTAATTTTAAAAAAATAATAATAAAATTATTTTTTACTACAGTAATTTTTAAAAAATTATTATAAATAAAATAATTTTATAAAAAATTGTAAATTGATTTTTTTCAACTTATATTGTATTAAAAAAAAAAATTATTATACATATATATATGACTTGTAAGAAACTTATTAAAAAACTTATTTATAAAGTTTTATATAATAATTATTTAATTCTGGTTTCATACTGTACGTATTATATAATTATTTATTTATTTTCACTGAAGAACATCCGTGTAACCATTTGATAAATAGTAAATTTAGTAAATTACTGTAGTATTCATATACACATATATTTTGAGAAATGATTCGCCAAGCTTTTTATACATACAGTAGCTTCAGTTTCTCCGCTTGCTTATCATCAGTTTTATTTTTTTGGTTAACTAATTTCTGACTCAATAAATCTCGATTTATTTTATGGAAGAATTCTTTTACTCAAAAAAAGAAATATATCATGAAAGGCAAAGGTTTTGGTTTTGTGGTCAAGTGAGTTTCTGAACCAAAATTATTAAAAAAAGATTTACATGTAATTCATCCTGATTGATTTTATATATATATTGTATAAAGCACACATTGAACAATCTAGTAAGTAAAAAAATTTTCACACAATTTTAAGTTTCTATTTCACAAAAAAAATCTATTTTAATAGCTCCAAAGAGAGGCCTTTAACAAGACAAAGCTTGATAATATCGCACTCAGGTTGGTTAACAACGCTGATTCCGAGATTAAGACATGGCGGTATCTCTTTATTAATCCGCACAAAAGTATCTTGTGAGTTTTATTAATGAAGTTAACCGTTTTATTTGTTTTCAGTTCAACTCAAATTTATAAAAAAAAAACTTATGATAGAGGATTCGGAAGTTATGACATAAACGTTTTGGATATAGCCCTTAAGGAATTTGATTTGGAGGTACAATGGTTTGATGCACGCAAAGGTATTATTATTCTCTTATGTGTTTATTATGACATTCAGTCAATCTATTTTATTATTCGAAAATTTATTCGGAATTCATCGTTAGACATCCGTACAGTTGTTCAATTTACCGACCCAACACTTTTCGGGATCATTCTGAACATTCCCACAACGCGATTTTACTTTTGGAAATGTTATCATTGGCTCGCAATCAAACCGATTTATGGAAACAACATTTATGAAGAGACAGTAATTTACAACCTAGACTCGAAATTGAGTAAACCTGAAAAATTTGATGACGTTGATCAGGTGTTTACCATGACTTAAGCGTTATTACATTTTTTGATGGCTTTGTTTGTTAATAATCGTATCGATATTTTTACAGGTATATAGATTTCTTGAAAACATCGTTTATCACAAAGATGGACAGCTCATACTTGTCAAATCAACGCCAAAAATTGAGGGCTCCGATATTGATTGAATTTGGTATTGTGAAAAGTGCATTGTAAATAATTGATTCTATGTAAAGTTTTATGCGATGAGAATTCAATTTGTCTGACGTGAGTCATTGAGACATCGATAAAATTTAATAAATTGATGATTTGATTTTACTGTATATGCGATATAATTTAACACATGATTGCACTATTAAATAATTAAGGTATGCTTATACAGTATATTAACAATAATTTATAAATACATCGAATCAAAAAGTTTTCGATATTAATTAATCTGCAATATCTCTAAATTCAATATCAATTTATTAGTTCAATTTATTTTAAGTGACAGTAATAATGTTTTAATTAAATACAAAAAATTGAACAAAATATATGGTTCTTATTTTTTTAATATTTTGATGACCAGTAAATAAAATAAATAAATCAATTTTTGAAATATAATAAAATTAAGTTTATTATATTATTATTTTTTTTCAATACTGCCAAAGCTTACATTATTGAGTTTATTAAGTAATACATATATTTTTTAAAATACAAAATAATTATATAAACTATATTTTCTTATATATTTAATTTATCTAAATCTTATGATAAAGTTATTTTATAGATTTTTTAAAAATTTACTTAATGTTGTTTGCTACCTCACAATTAAAACTAATATGTTTAAATGTCATTAGTATATTTTTTTTCTTAATTGCATATAATTTTAAGTTTTTATTTAAGTTTTTATATAATGAAAGAAGAAATAATATATTAAATAGAAATAATATTATTTTGATAAGATAAAAATCATTTTAGTTTATTAAATCTATCAAGAATTACTTTTTATTATTATTAACAGTTAGACATTACTATTTAATTTTTATTGTTTTAATAAGAATTAGAGATATTTAAAAATACTTATGATTGTTAATTATAATATAATTATCTTTTTATTTAAGATATTAATTACTTAAAGTTTTATATATATCTTTATAAAATAACCAATATTAGAAAAGATTTTTTATTAAAATAAAATAAGATTGTTTTTGTAAACTAGAATTTTAAAAATATCAATATTATAAAAAAGAAGATTATCAAATTATTTAGCTTAAAACTAAATATTTTTATTTTATATTAACAGAATAATTATTATATTACTATACTTTTATAAAATTATTTTTTTTTACTTATATATATTTTTTTTTATTGTTGAAATCTTGTATATTTGTTTCAAAGTTTTTAAAATTTTTTTATCATCTAGTTTGTTACTATTCTTAATATATTTTTAATTTTTGTATTGTTAATTTATTCTATCAAACCAATTAAATTTTTTTATAGATTTCTTCAATTAGTTTTTTTTAAATTGTTAAATTATTATTAAAAACTTTTTTATTTATTAAGTATTTTACTAATTTTATTCAAACCAATATACAAATATACAAGTTTTATATCAAAATTTTTTAATATATTTTCAAGTATTTTGAGATTTTTAAAAAAATCAATCAAATTATAAAAACTATTTATTTAAATTTTTTATTCAAATAATAACCTCAAATTAATCTTTTATATTTAATAAGTTATAAAATTATTATATAGCATAACTAATAAAATTTTTATTAAATTAAACTTTATTAATTAAATTAAAATAATAAAAAAATAATTAATTTAAATATATAATCAAATCTAAAAATTATATTGTAATATAATTGATATTTTATTATTTACTGGAATTAAATAAAATTATAATAATTATTCAATATAATTAACTTTATTAAAATAAAAAAGCTATTATTTTACTTATTAAAATCTTATCTATTAATACTTTTCAAAAAGAAATCATTATTAATTTACTTTTATAGTTATTAATTTATTTTTTTTAATGTAAATATAATGATTTAACAATTAACAATTACAAATTTTAAATACAA